TTTTTTTTTTTTAGGTATTCCTCTTATGCTTCTGTTCTTAACAAATATTGGCGATGTTATGGCAAAAATTTTTCGCTTTCTTTATGCAAAGTCAATACAGTTCAAATATCGTCTAATTTTATGGCATAAACGTCGAAAAGCGGCAAGAATTCGTCGAGCAAATTCATTGGTTGCCAGACTTGCAAGGGTAGATATTCATTTATAACAAAAAAGTTATGATTAGTCTAGTTAAATGTTTTAGAAGTATTAAAGCACTTTAGCAAATTAGTATTCTTTCATGTTCAATATTACTTATAGAATGTAAAAGGCGATAATTCATTGGAGTCTTTCGGTATCATTCCTGATGTACAAGATCTGCTGACAGCTCGTGCCGCACTTGACCAAATGGAGGTTATGCAGAAATAGTTTTGAGCATCACAAATACTTGTCCGAAAAATTGACTTTTATATCATAACAAAATTATTTTTAGCAGGATATTCAATTTCAGGTCAAAGAAACAATTGAAGCTGAACTGCAACACGTGTCTGTACCATTAAGTTCTGTATTTCTTACAATGTTGGCATATTTGATCACAGGTTCTGTGTTATTTTGTCTTTGGGAAGGCTGGACCTTCTTAGACAGTTTTTATTTCTGCTATATATCGCTGACCACAATCGGTAAATTTTAATTATTGTTATTTGTAATTATAAGGATTAATGATTGAGAGGAAAAATAACAGAATATGAGCTTAAATGGCATCTTAGTGTTGCTGAGTTTGTTGTAAAATGAAAATCTTTTTAATTTCCTGTCGCTGTAATTCCAGGGTTTGGTGACAAATTTCCTGGTGCCTCAGTGGGTAGCGATGAAGATGCACAAGAAAAACTAGTGATTACTTCTGTGTATCTTCTGTTTGGTATGGCACTACTTGCAATGTGCTTTAATCTTGCTCAGGAAGAGGTATTTGAACTTTTATGTGAAAAAAAAAAAAAAAAAAACTAGTTTAGAAGTTATTTCTGCATAAGTTAATTTAGTTTTATGAGTATTCTAATTTTAAATGTATTAAATGTAGACGATTTATTAAATTTTTTTAAATATGATGGTTTTAAGAAAATTTTCATTTCATTTTGAATTATAAGTCAGTCTTTTTAGGTAGTCAACAAAGTAAGTTGGCTTGCCAATAAATTCCGGTCACGTGATGAAGATGAATTTATGATCGAAGGTACCTAAATATATAGTTTTAGTTGCCCATTAGCTGAAAAAATATTTTTTTCTTTTTTCTCCTTTTTTTTTTTGCTGCAGACGATGCTTAGGGGAGAAGGAAAAATCTGAAATTTTGCACTGTTTTATTCGGTGCTCTCTTCTCAGATGTACACTCCACATCACAGTAGCAGTATCAACGCCGGTGACAACAGTCTCTGTAGCTTTCGAAATGCAACGATGACCTTGTTCACACTGTGCGTTGTTCATCATTGACACTTTCAGTAGCATTCAGTGATCAGCGTTAGAGTTGTACTGAACGAGAAGAATCTTAACCTTACTATGTAATTGTGAATGGTTAAATTTGTTGTATCATCAAGTTTCTCTTATGGTGTTTATTTTGCTATTAATCAAAAGAAAAAAAAAGAACAGTTGAAAGAAATAATAGAAGCAACAATTATTTGGATAATAATAGAAAAAATTATTCATAATGTACAAAATAAATATTGGTAAGGTATGATAATTTGTTGACAAAAAATAAAGAGTAATTTTTATAAGGTTTGAAGTCACTTTATTATAATTTATATATATACATATATACATATTTTTTTTTTTTTTTGGCATTTGATTAGCATTTGTTGATAGATGATACTTGAAAAAGTAGTTACTGTATAATTCGGTGAAGTATTCTTAGTTTTTTTTTTTTGTAAAATAATGGAATACCAGAAAAAAAAAGAACTTTTTTTTTGTTTTTTATAAAAATATTTTTTTCTTAAACAATGAATTTATTTACTACAAATTTATTGTTTACAAAAACTGAATCTTTGTCTATCTAAAATTTATACAGGCGTTTTTTTTTCCTTTTTTGTTTTGGTTTTATTCGATTTGTTTTGATATAACAAACTAAGCATTGTTAAGTAATTGTGCCACGGTGTTATTGTTTATTCTAAATAAAGATTACCAAGAAAAATAATACGTTTTTGTTGCTTCATCTGAAATGGTAACATATTTTGAAAAAAAAAAA